TAATTAACTCATATCTCCGTCAAAAAGGTGCATGGGCCCAAACCAACTTGGGGTTTTTCACTGCTGAGTATTCCCTACATGATGAAAATAGTCTGAGTCGAAAAGCTTTTAATCACTTCGAGAGGTTCTCTCGTGAAACATGAAGCAAACAAAAAAGGGAAAAGGTTTTTGCATCACCCGTTAGCCTTCGGTATATGAGAAACGTCTAAAAATACAGTCGACATGTGCTTAGTGTAAAAATACTAGAACCAATTAATTAAAACTCATGAGAAGCAAACAGGTAAGTGTCAAATTCAGATTATGTCAGACTTCTTAGCAGAAAAAATTAATTGGACAATCGAATGTAAATCCTTCGATCACATCCATTGTCTGTATGTGAACCAAAATTCATTTCAATAAATTTCTTCTGGCATTACACCGAATTAAATTATCTTTGGATGTCACTTAAAATCTGTTGCCTACTGTGATTCACAGTAATAAACGTAATCAACAATCCTCTCGATCAGAACGTGACAAAATGGAGTTAAGAAGACTATCTCTCTTCCTCAAAATAAGATTAATCTCTTTCTCGCTGGCATAAACGCTGATACTGTTAAGTTCTGAGAAGCGTCGCATAATGACTTTATATGTTATTCTTTACCTTATTAAAGTACTAAAAACTGGCATACGAAGCTTAACGTTATAATTATAACCAATATACAATCATAGATGTCAATCTGAAGAATGAAATTTTAGTTCACTTGCGTGACTACAGAAACCTTCGATAGGAGTCTGTCCGTTGCCAACAAGCAGTGCACGTGTCGTGTAATATTTGCATTTCAAAAACAACTTCCTCGTTACTTGTTCGATTCGACAAGTTCTCCACTTTTCACTGATTTAAGAGGAGCATAGAATGTGTCTACGAGTCACCACTAGACATGGGCGGGACAAGCATTTTTAGTCCCGGTGCCGGTCCCGTAAAGTTGTTCTATTTTTATTAAAGAGTTACTGCTTACTGAGGTACTGTTCTATTTTTATTAAAGAATTACTGTAAAGTTGTTTATTTTTCTCAGTCCCGATCTCGGTCTCGGAAATTTTTTACGTTGCCGGAGAAGACACTTTATTTATAAAGTTTGCATGACGTAGATGTGAAGCTCAATGCCTAGAAGAACTGTAAGACTTCTCGACGATTTTCCACAACGTTTCTATTTTAGTATAGAAAAAAAATGTAGTTGTAGCTGATTTTATGCAACTGGCGAAACACATCTTAATTCTAGTGTTGGTCCCGATCCCGCCCTTGTCTAGTCACCACACAACATGTCGCCAGTCAAAATCAGCGTTCTTATCAGGTACTCTAATCCTAATGCTCCTATAGTTCTCGAATTCTTATCCTTAAACTCTGAGAACTCTAGCTATCGATATTTCATTCAAATATTGGTGAAGTGTTTAGCGAGACTTCGTGCGTGAACTGGCATCAGGTCATACAATATAAAGTAAGTGGACAAGTGTCGAGTACTATTGCTCTGTCTCCCCGTGGATCTAGACGTTTATATTATTTTTTTGTTGAAAAGAACAAGTCTGAACTACAAAGCTTGTGTCAGAAATGAACTTGCGGTCAACCCAAACCTCTTATGCTAGAATTGAAACACTACACGCCATTGGAAAAGTGCCTGCAACAGTCGAAATATCTGATAGAATGATTACCTATTTGTTAATACGTCAGCTCGTTATCGTTGTGAAAAATTGCAGAATAAACGGTTGCAAAACGAACGGGCTAGAAACCAATCTGTAAAACGTTATGCCGAAAACAGTATTAACAGAGTAAATCTCTACACTGATGCGCTGCTACACATCTTCCAAAAATGTTGCACACACGTATGTTTAAAGCTGCATACGCTGTTCTCACCAGCACTGAAAATTTTTCTAATCCCTTATTAAACATAACCCCATGGCATATGCTAGTTGCCAGACAGCAGACGATGATCATCTTCGTAGTAACATAAAAGTCGAAGTCAAAATTGACAAACTTTAGTAGAAATATTAGTTGTTTGTATAGACGCATATTAAACAAACAAATTAAACAAACAAAAATATGAATCGGAGTGATCCTGAAACATATTTGAATGACATATCGATAGCTAGAGCTCTCAAAGGTTCAGAAGAATGCGAGAACTATGAGAGCATTAAGATAAGAGTATCCGAGCACTGATTTTGACTGCCGACATGTTGTGTGGTGACTTGCAGACACATTCTATGCTCCTCTTAAATCAGTGAAAAGTGGAGAACTTGTCGAATCGAACAAGTAACGAGGAAGTTGTTTTTGAAATGCAAATATTACACGACACGTGCACTGCTTGTTGGCAACGGACAGACTCCTATCGAAGGTTTCTGTAGTCACGCAAGTGAACTAAAATTTCATTCTTCAGATTGACATCTATGATTGTATATTGGTTATAAAAAAGCCCTAAAAGGGGAGGGATACCTTTAATGGTGTCTTTTCCTATTAACGTACACGTTGAAGCACAAAGTAACGTTATGAACACGTGATTTGGTCCATATATACAGAATAAAGAATAAATTCTCTTGACTTGAACAGTATTCGTACCGATTTTTCATCGACAACGAACAGAGAAAACAGTTTTCTATGTTAGGTCATTTCTGTTTTTTGTAGATTTATCTGTTGTTTTATTCATGTTCAGAATAAAATGGGCTTTTATTCGCCTAAGATGTCGATAAAAATTCGACGGAGAAAGACGAAGAAAATATTTTGAGCCTCATCTATTTCCATAACGCTCCACTGCCTGCGAGCAGCAATATATAATCCTCTACGAAGATCTCAATTCCAGATTCCATAGGCGCGCAGTTTTACTGTTATGATGCCGAGAGGCGGACTACTTTTCATTTATATTTGTGTCACTGTCATTATATGCTTTAAAAATCGTAATCCTGACGAATTTAGCATGAACAGGTGTTAAATAAGGAGTTCTTTGCTATCAAAAACAATCTGATAATAATTTATGAATGTATTGTTCATATTATTTCATTGCACTTAATTTTATTTTTTGCTTTTTCGCAAATAGCGCTAAAAAAAGAAAATCACATTTTACTTTCTGTAATAGCACCAAATAGTTGTAACATGCAAATAAACTCCCAAAATAAAAGGAAAGAAATAATAATAATAATAACAACAACAACAATAAATAAGAATGTTTGGCTGTACAAAATAAAATACGATAATAAAAGATGTCGTAATATGTTTGAGTAAAGGTTATCTATGGAATGATTCTGGACTAGATAAGATAAGGATGATTGATGAGAACGAGAAATAATGAAGAAAACTAACGTTTTCGTTTCGGTAATGAAAGTGACTTTGTCATTAATGATGTTAATGCTTTATTAGCATCTCCTTGAAATAATTTCAATTCATTGACAGCTTGTTCTTGAGTAAAGCCATGCTTGGTTATATGTGTTACGGATTGTTCAGGATATTCAGATGATATAGCTAGCTGTTCTGAACCACTGACTGTTGTTGTTGCTGTTGTTGGTGGTGGTGGTATTGAACTTGATGTATTATCGCCTAAATGAATGAATAATAATAGGAATTAGAAATCGCAGAGAAAATACTTTAGCAGTATCAATCCCTATTCAATCGAGCTCAAATCAAAGCTTAAGAAAAAATCGAAAAGCGCCGCCGAATACGATCGCATGGTTTTAGGTCTAATAGTAAGAAACTCTCAATATACTTAGTTTAAATTACAAAGGGATGATGTTAGAACCAAGATATGCGATACGTTTAAAAAGTTTCGCATATAATCTAAGAATGGGACCCTGTATATAAACATGAATACAAAAGAACATCAAAAACAAAATTAGCAAATTTTAAATAAAAAATAATTCAAGATGAAGTATTTAGTATTTGATCATATCATAAAAGCTATCCCTTTGATAATAGTATGACACTTGTATAAGAATAAATTACGATCTACGAATACTGAATGTTTATTGTATCTTTTTTTCTATAATCCACATAACGTGTTCCCTAAAAAAAAGGTTTATTACGAAACTTAAAAGGGTATAGAGAAGTGCAACCATTTCTAAACCCTTTTAGGTTTCGTAGACGACATAATGCAGTACGAAACCGTTTAAGTGCATAAATTCTAGCAGTTTTTTTCTGAGCAAGTGGACTATCTCAGCAGTGTTTTCACTGTATACGGCGGCGAAAATTGAGCCCAAAAAATACCTGAAAGTTCTGTAATTTTTGATTTTTCGAGAAAAAGTCATGAGAAAAAAACATAACGAAATAAGCAAATGCATTCATTGATCAATCGTTTCAATGCACTTCGTTTTTCTATACCCTTTTAAGTTTCGTAATAAACCTTTTTTTTTAGAGAGTAGTCTCGGCAGGACTGCCGTTAATTTTCTCACAATGTGTTATTAACCAAAATAGAACATGTTAAGAATAAAGCTATGATTTTTGCCAACAGCATCAGACAAAGGCACAAAAAGGCATTAGGTAATAGTGCGCGCGTGTATGACTGAAAGTACATTTATTATGGCTTTTTTTGTCTGATGAGTACACCTTAAGCCTATAGGCGATTGGACATGAAACAAACAAAATCCTGTCATACCTGCGATAGCGATTACGAGCTGAAAATATGATTTAGGAAGAAGGATGAGAATGAAACAAACATATCGATAAATGCTGATAGTGTATAATTGAACTTACCAGCATCTTCAGCTGATCTGGCTAGTGCTTGAGCAAGATCTCTATTTTCATGTTCGGTCATTTCATCCATTGAAATGGGTCCACTTAATTTAGCATGATCAGGTAATTCATTTTCGGATAAAAATCGCGTTTCAATATTTGCCGAGCCAATACGTAATATATTTTTTTGTAAATCAATTACACACTAAACATGGCTATTTTAATAAAAATAAGAATATTTTTGAAATTAATTACCTGATGGCGTTTTAAAACATCCAATCCTAATAGCATATCCATTGGTTGATCTTCTAACACGGAAAATGCTGTTGTAAAAAATGCTTTTTCAACTTCAATTTGAGCTATAAAACACACAATAAATGAAGAAATAATACATATATCAGTTTAACATACCAAGATGAATACGTCCAATTATTTTTTGTGTACCAACACCTTTTGCAATACCACCCCATCGTCTGTCGACCAAACGCATAATACCACAACGTTCAGCACATGCTTGACCTAAAATAAAACAGTTAAAATCGTTCTAAACAAAAATATAGGATAGTCCAAAAAAAGTGAGTTTATCGAGCTAAAATGTAACAGATTATTTCAATTTTTTGACAATTTTTACCCATTGTCATTTTTTAGAATTTTGTCGAAAAATTGAAATAATCAGTTACATTGTATCTCGATAAACTAACTTTTTTTAGACTACCCTGTATGGCGTAGATAACTTACTCATTATTGTCATTTGAGCTCCTAAAACAATATCAGTAACATTCAAACATTTGACAAGTTGAATGTTAAATTTTCTTACCCGAATCAACAAATGCTTTAACATGATGTCCATTGACTTTGCAAGTAATATAAAGCATAACAACGTGTCCAAATACTTCTGGCATGTGTTCCAATGCGTGTTCCATATTATCTTGAACATTTTGCATACTAAAAATAATATATAAGAAATATATAGTCATCAATGAGAATTATTCTCGATTTATATACTGTAATAATTCTTCAATTCGTCGTTGTACATTTGGATCAAACGGATCGGCCATAGCTAGACGATCTAATTCCGTCTGATGACTTGCACCTGGTAAATGTTGAGAAAGAAGTTGCATAAAACGATCTAAAAACATAGAGAATAATCATTATTTTATAAGATTTATCGTATAGATAAAAAAATTTTCTTATTGGTAGTTGTTCTTCAATTCATGTATCGAATAAATAAATCAAAAAAGAAACTAATGATATTGTTACTCTACTTCAGTATTTCTAGTAAAAGAGGATTAAACACAAAAAAAAATCATTACACTGGCATGCAAAGTAATTTATTTCACACTACCATGTTATTTAACCGGTATTTGCCTCCGTTTATATTGCTGTCAAGTAAATGATGATTTGATATAGAGAACTATTCCAGTCAGGTTATTTATTACTAAAGATACTCTCAAAAAGAAGAATTTTTCTCTAAATTAGTTTCAATAATTTCACAAAAAACTCATGTTATAATTTGCCGTGAATATGTTAATGTTTTCTATAATAGATCGTTTAATAGGTAAGCATTTTTAGAAAGTGGCAATGAAGTAGACTGTTAACAAACATAATTTATATCAATCGTACATGTATTTCAACACTTGTCCTAATTTTATTTTTTTCTCTATATACAAATAATTAATTATTTAATAAATTATAGATCTAGTCAATCCATCATCAAACAGACAACAATATTTTTCCTTCCTTCGCTATTTTTCCCATCTTTATTTTAATAACAAAAGAAACTAGCGAGTATGGGTGCAAGTAGGTGTTTATCGATGTGTATACTCTGCGTCTTGTTTGTAAAAAAAACAACAAACTCTTTTTCCTCTTCTTCTTCTTTTTCTACAGTTGCCAATCCATGGTTATTTTCTGTTATTCATTAACAGAAAAAGAACCTAGAAACAACATAAATAAATAAACGATGGTAGGAAATTATTTGAATCTTGTTTTTGTTTTATTCTAAAAAATTTTTTTAGTGAGGTGATCTAAATAGTTACAATCTTTTCTTTTTTTTATATCGGAATGAAGTGTAAACTTTTTGTCGTATAAATATTTTTATTATTTTCTGATGACTTTTGTGAGACAAGCTGTCATAATATATGTAACAAGTAGAACAAATGCTTTCGTTTTATTATTATTACTTTATGTATAAAACATAAGCAGATAGTTCTTTTCATATATATTATAGGTCGACTAGCAACGACGTGATGTTTAACAGTTTCTGTGATGTTATTTCTTGGTATAAAAACACAGCTGGTAAAAAAAAAAATTAAGCGATAATAATCATTTACCGTATGGACCGATATATCGACCGGTTTTACGCTCATAGGTACACGTTTTATTTTGAGAGTTAAAGGTTAAATATACAATCTCAAGAAATTTGATGAAAGAGTTTTTCATCTTATTTAAGCTGTTCGCATATTTCGAAGAATATTTTGAATTCTTCATGCAAAATTTTATAATGGAGAAGTGTTTGAATAATTTTTGTTTAGAGATAATGATAAGCTCACTCTCAAAAATATTCATTATATATATATATATTAACATGATAAATAATCTAAACTAATTGTGGGTAAAATTAAACTACATCTATCTGCAGATACTTTCCATAGGGATGGAAAATTTATGCAGTTTAACTAAACTACATCTCTACTTTTGGTATCAAGAGAGCGAAACATTCTTTCTTTTTTATCTCTAAAAAAAGATAAAGAACAAAAAAAATTTGTTATCGCCTACAATGATCATCATAAATACAATAGATACCTATTGACAACATACAATACTGTATATTAGCAGACTAGTAAACTAGTGTGCGTTTAAAATTTATGGACTCAACCGAGTTTGTCATCAAAAACATTAAAAGGTGAATATGATTGTTTTTTTCATACATATATACTACAGACCAAATTAGAAATCAGGCTAATTTCAAATCCAGACTAATAATCAAATCAAAGGCTAACTAAAAACTCTAAGTTAGGCTAGATCGAACTGGGTCATGTTAGTCAAGGTCAATTTGAAATTAGCCTGTACTAAATTAGAATCATATGCTAAAAATATGGATTTTGTATACAAACAGAGTAACTTTGACCGAAGATGATGGTACAGAGGACTTTGGAGTACATGAGAGTGAGTCCAGAAAGAACGTCTTACTAGTAATGACTGGAAGGTATGCAACTGGATATATGGTTAAGAAAATTACCATATTGTCGCTGTTTTATCTTCAATTGAGATGAAGCAACGATAGGATTTTAAACTTCAATATTTAATACTAAATGTAATCGACAATAAATTATGTTTATTTATCACACTTTTAATGGATGAATACCAATCAATCTATTGGTTCTCATATTGGTTTAATTCCTGTGATGTGGCAATTTTCTTAACCATATATCCAGTTGCATACCTTTCAGTCATTACTAGTAAGAAGTTCTTTCTGGACTCACTCTCATGTACTCCAAAGTCCTCTGTACCATCATCTTCGGTCAAAGTTACTCTGTTTGTATACAAAATCCATATTTTTAGCATATGATTCTAATTTAGTACAGGCTAATTCCAAATTGACCTTGACTAACATGACCCAGTTTTACCTAGTCCAACTTAGAATTTTTAGTTAGCCTAGATAAATTTTAAATTGGTCTGTACCGTATAGTTCAAGATAATTGAAGTTTTTTGCCATAATTTCTATAGAATATTTTATCGTTGTGTAATGTATTTACTTTCAAACATATATGCTTTTAAATAGAGGATAGTTTGCTTTGGGGTATATATTCAGATAATTAAGGATTTTCTTCAAAAAATAAAAATATTCAAATTCTTTTCTAACACATCATCAATGGATGAATTAAAGTCTGTTAGTTATTCCAAAAAAATGTGTGAGACGATAGTCGACAGCAACATTTCTAGTTACCTGTTGAACTATGAAACGTGTTTGTTTGTGTATTTTTTTCAAAATATGTAAAAAATGTGTCTAGTTGTTTATGAAGTTTTAAATGCGTTTATGCATTCAAATTGTAAGTAAAACTGTCTTAATGGTTTATTTAGACCACTATGAGAAGGGAACAGTCTAAAGATGGGGTTTCACTTCGTTTGATCCGTGTTCATTAGCAAAAAAGTTGGAATGAGCTTCACATGTGTTCTTCAACCGTCTAGCCGGATAAACTATTATTTCCAGTGGTGGAATTTTGTGAAGTCCGCTGGATTAAAAGCACATCTCAGAAATATATCGAATAAACTGTATATGAAACTCTGTTAATCTTTGGTAGAGAACAAAGTGAGATAAACTGTCAGATTTTCTCAAAAGAGTTCTAAAAATGAGTGAAAAAGAAAATATTTGATATATTGTCTATGTCAACAAAAAAGTCTTTTTCCTTTCTTTTTCATTTCTTTGCGTGAATACAATAAAAACGGCAAAATATTGAGTAAAAAACGTGTTATGATTTTAAAACCTATTTTTTTTTCTCGTTCCGTTTGTCTAAATGAAAGATCCTATTTTTCCCCATAATCAAAGTCAGATATTGACTTGTTATATTCATATTTATTTTTTTGCTTGTTGATGTTAATTAAAAATAATTTCATTATTGAAAATTAGAAAGTAATATATCTATGATATGTATAGATCATTCAAGCAATATCATTGCAACTTTTCTTCCGCTTGGATCGTTTGTTTGTAATTACTCTTATTATTAGGTTTCTTTTTTACACAATATCATAACTAACAAAGAATAACAGTAACAGTGTTTAGTTGACTGAGTCTACGTGCTGATATCTTAATTGATCTCATTTGTGTATGTATCTGAATATATTTCTTATCTTTTACATTAATACTTAATCTATATCTTTCTGAAATTTGAGCTAGGTATTAATGGAGAAACTACTTTTGGCTTATCACTAAATTTGTATATAGAGAAAAAGGAAAGTAAGAACTAATTTGGCTCCAATTTTCTGTCTTGACAGTTAAGAAATAGCTTGACCTATATTTGTCCTAAAGCATATGGTTTGTGTTTTAAGAAGATTCTACTGATGATTTGCTCAGAGTTATTTTATTTTTTTACTATCTAGAAATATTTCGACTTTCATATGGGTACCCAAGCTTTGCGTAATGTCTTCTCATGATTTTATTATTGGATCAAACTATCAATCAACATAGAATGATCAATGAAAAATAAACGAGACAAAATTTTCGCTTGAGGTACGTTTATCAATGATCCCAAGTTTCGTTTTTATCCAAAAGTTCTTAAAAATAGATCATATAATTCGTTTTGATGTCGAACGAGAAACAACGATATGGTTTATTCTGATTGAAAATGTCGTCTAGTAATGAAATTGCGAGAAGACTTACGCAAAACTCGTGTATCCAGCATAAAATCAAAATATCTTAAAAAAGCAGTTAGATTAAAAATGATATCAATTTGATTTCTATTAACTTCATTCAATTTTTGACGAAAATAAAAACTGAGCTGATCTTGAAAGAATCACTATGTCGAAAGAAATGCTTGTTTGTTGATTAAAGAAACAGCCTCTAACTATTATTTACTTTCTCTTTGGCAGACAAGAATGAAGCAGAGATCTCTTAGCACTTTTTTTTTTTAGTAGTTTGATCGAACGTTTGTTTTAACTAGATTAGATAGGCATACGCAAACTGTCTATTCCATCTTCTCTAAAAAAATATCATTTTGTTTGATAATAATTAGGTAATATAATAATAATATCAGAGAGAACCTACGTATTGTATCCATCGTTTACTTTATATTTGATACTATCCAAACCTAGTGGTGACATACAAAGTGACCTTTTTTTATTCTCGTTGCCTCTTTTTGGCGACTCCTTTTTGTTGTCCATCAATGCCTACTGACATTCAGTTGAGATTTGTTTGAAAAAAATAAATAAATCATTACCTATTTTTATTCTCGTCTGTTTTTCATGTATCATTACCGAAATTTCTCCTGGCTTCTTTCTATTTTTTCCTCTCCGATTTCGATAATTCAAAAACTGTCTATTGACGAAGCTAATAAAAAAATATATTGTATTCGTTTCTTGTCTTGAAAATACAGATGTGAATAGTGATTATTAGACATTAATGAAAAAGATTAATGATTTATTTTCTTTCGTCTAGATCAATGAATGTAAAAACGACATGTTTGAATTTATTATAGAAAAATAAATTATTTCATTTCGTTCGTTTTTATCAAAAAAAACAACAACATCACATTTAGTAGTAAAAATCATTTCAGACACATTAATGGTCTTATCAGCAAAATCGAGAAAAAAAAATTTCATTTCGTTCAAAAAAATCTAAAAAATGAATCGTAAATATCAAGACAAGAGTTTCTAAGATAAATCATCTAGTTGTACACACTCTCCAACATCTATTGTTTTTCAATGATCCTCAATAGAAGTGTCAGTAAAGATTAGTGTTATCGATAACTCATGACTAATGAGTAGAATAGCGACAGGACCATAGTTGTAGCGTACGATTTAACACTATTTCAAATAAACATAAATAATTTTTAGGTAACAAAAGAGGTTAGTGAACATTTGTTGCTAGGATATCTTTCTCAGGAACACTTGTGTGAACAGCATGCATTCATAGATCCAAAGGTACCTAATATATTGTTTCTTAGTCAATTATTTAATCGTAGAAATGTTACTCAATGTGCTATCAATATTGTATGTATTTAAATGTTTCTTACACGAGTTATTTATAATAGTTTACTTCTTTACCCTTTGTAGATTTTTCTAACTATTATGGATGTTTCTAGAGAATTCATCATAACTTCTGAAATGATGATGTTTAAAATTTTTAACATTATTGTCTCTTGTTGATTACGAGTTATGTTGAATAGAAAGAATTATTTATGTATTTTTGAGATATAACAAAAAAAAAACAACATAAAATTTTTATTCAAAATAAAAAGATACTGCTACTTTTGTGTAGAGAAGAAAAGTTCAATTAAAAACGGAAATTAAGAAGATATTCTTCGTAGCCACTTAAAAAGAATTTCTCGGCTTCTTTGCAAATAAATAAAGACGCTTTTGGCTAAGTGGAATCATTTTTATGTGCCATATAAAAAAATTACATACATACACACAACGAATGCTTCTTCAATCTCGAACTAACTAACCATATAATTAATATATAAAAAAAATTAATTCTTTTTTCTTGTTATGTATTCTCTAGTCATGGCTCAATACATCAATTACACCCGTTTTGAAAAATCGAAGAAAAAAAAGAAGAGAGATAGAGAAAAAAGAGAGAGAGAGCGAGAGAGTATATGCGTGGGTGGCCCTTCTTTCAGGGCGAAAGCAACAACATCTTTTAAATTATTTATTCTGAACAAAAATATCTAGATGGAGAAAGAGAATAAAGAACTGATTTTATGTGTGCTTTTCCATCGTATTTAATGAACACTAATTTTCTTTCGTTTCTCTTCCGATTTTTATGATGCTCCATTCTATATTTTAAAAAAAAAAACAATAAAATAAACCTCTAGTTCATCCATATAGAATGCTTTGCATCTTTAAGTTATTAATGAAAACGTTCTCCAATTACTGCTGCTGTTGCTATTAGAATTTTTACTCTCTCACACTCACACACACACACACACACACACAGACAGCATATTGTCTTTACTTGATAGAAAGAAATGATATTGTCTACTATCTTTCTCTTTCACCATTAACAATGGAACAGAAACAAAAAGTATTTTGTCTCTCTTTATCCTTTTGCTGCTTCTACTGCTACTACTACTTGTCTTTGTTCGTTGGTAACCGATCAAAGTTATATACGTACGTACATATATAAAGATATACAATAAGACAACTACATCTTTATTTATTTGTCTTTTCTACTGTACAATATCTCGATGTTTTTCTCTTTCTTAAAAAAAAAATAATAAATGTATACACGACGTGATAAGTAATTTTTTCCCGTCAACGATATCTTCAAGTAAGTGCAGTGAAACATATAGAGAAAAATTAAAAATTAATTGTACGAGTAAATTATCAAGTGTTTAGTTATTAAATATTAAAGAAATAGAATTATTTTTCTTCGAAAACGTTGTTATTTTAATATGACAAAATAAATAGAATTATGTTACACCGTCACAAATGAGGGATTAGCATTGTTGTTTCCGGCAATTGACAGTGATTCTTAGAAATAATGTAAATTATAATTCATTTATAGTTTTCTTAATTCTAGATTTGACAATGATGAAGAATAATTATTTATATTTAACAATTATTTTCTCGTAGTTAATTTAAAAAAAAAATCAATATGCATTCTATGGTCGGAGCATTCGGCGATTATAAAATCGAACGTCGACGTGTCGATGTCGTACGTGGTTATTGTTATCGTTTTACCCAATGTAGTTATCCATGTGGCCTATTTATGCTTACATTATCAATATTACTCATAATAGCTGGCACTATTCAACTCGTATTTATCATACACTTTGAAGGATGTACTAAAACATCGACATACACTATTAAATGTAATCGTCAAACAATTAAAGTTCTAGGTATCACATTTCTTGTTACCGGTTGTGTTCTGTTAATAATTAGTCTTATAGTGACAAAATATTCTCGATCAGGAGAAGAGAATAATGTTATTCGAACAACATCCGCATTGCTACAACAACAACAACATTTACAATCATTATCAAATAAAGAACAAAGTAATATAATTGTTTCAATTCGGTAGCTCAGTAACAAAAATCGGCTATCATTTTTATTCATCTTCAAGTAAGAAGACCTTTTCTCCCTACTCAGAAATCACAACTGAACTATTGCATTATGCATATCAACGAATAGTATGAAGGATCTACTTCCAGAATGTATAGTCTCTCTCACGTTTCTTCAATCTATAAACAGAATTTACTAGATGTTCTAAAAATTCAAATTGTCAAAGTTTTAAATCTTTTCTCACTACTATACAGGCTAAAGTTTTACCAGAGTACACATTTTTCTTTAAAATGGGATGTAACACGACTATGTTCATCTAACTTCTTAAAAAAAATTTATGAGATTTTCTGACAAACCGAAAAACGGACTCGGGATGTTCTCGTTAGAGATATTGACACTACTATGGTTTGATCGGGTACCATTTTCTCAGCAACTGCTCAATATTTAGTAAACATTTTTTTCTTGTTTGAAATCCCCACCTAAACGATTCTTAAAAGTCGCTTTTTTTTCTAAGAAAACTATGCGAATCGACTCATTTTTTAAAACTTTAACTCAGAATGGTTGTTTTGAGACAATGAAAATGAATTTTAAAAATCGATCTTGATAATATTTTAGGAATATGCGTCTAGATCCATTTAAAACTAGTCGGATTGCTCTAGCTATTACGAAATCTGAGAATTTGGTACTATGCAAAAATTCTTTTTTCAAACATATCCCACTATGACTTTCGAATGCTTCAACATTTCAAGCTGAAATTTTTACTACAACATATTCTCATTCTAGTCTTTAATATGAATGTATTGTTTAAAAAATGGTGTTCTGAGTAGGCGAGATCCCTTCAATTTTGTATATTTTAATTGGTCTTGCGTGTATCGCTCTTTTTTTCTAATAGAAGTTCAACAATCACACGATGAAACATCTATGAAATTATACATTTCAGTTTTACTTATTTGTTTGTCGTCTTTTGATATTTACTGTACAGAAAAATTCTTGTTTCTTTTTTTCATGATCAGAAAAAAATAATAATTTTTAGAATATTATATTTGCTGATATTTTTACTTTATCACAACGGGAAAACTATCTTCATTTTAAAAGTTTAATTGGAAACGAGTTATCATACTAAAACAATCATCGTAAGTTATACGCGGATCACAACCGAATCCTATTATTTAATTATATTTTGAAAAAACAAGGTCAACATAATGTATTTAGCAGATAGAAAAGACACAAAAAAGCGTATCGTTCACATAATTACATTGATAACCTTTTACCAAGGTCGAACTATAAAATAATGTACTGAACTCGGCAGGCAGTTTTTACTACGTAGTTGTCTACAACATCTGTTCTTTATCAACAATATCTACATATAGACGAAAATCTATGTTATTTCTCACAATTTAAACCTTTTAAACAAAACATTAATTGTTTTTTGACTAACCAGTCCATTTCAAAACATCATTAAGCCAAACAAACATTATTTCGAACTGTAAGAAAGGCATACATTACAAACTTCGTCACACATACATCTTTCTAAAGATTCTTATTTCTATTCGTCAAAAACTCGACAGATTGGCTTCAGTTATTCCATCTTTGTTGAGTATTATTGTATTTTTATTGTGTTTAGAAAACTGTACAGGTTAGTCATGTTACAAGGAGTGAGCTTTGCTAACATACATAAACAACTATTGATTTTAACTAAAAATTCACGATTTCTGGTAAGCATCCTCTTGTCTTTATGAGAGAAAAGGAAAAGGAGAGTTGTTAAACCAGTTGTTCTACAAAGTCTGAAATAAAAAAAATCAGAAAAATCAGAAAAATCAGAAAAAGAAAAGAAAAACGAAGTACTTTAGTTAATCGAATTACGATAAGTTCAACTAGACTAAATTGAGCTCAAAATAATCATTGAGTTATATCGTGTGCGATGTTCGGAAGAAAAAGAACAAAAGAAAAAATAGCTAAAAGCAGTTTTGATAATAATCACAGTAAAATCGAGTAGACAATAAGAAGTTTTTCATAACAGAACAGAAAAAAGAATGTGAACTATATGGCTCAAATCTATGATTCACTCACATGACTTGCAGAAAGTTCAATGGCCGCGCCGTAATAGGAACGAACTAAATCAGATTAATAATTAAAGAATGTTGCGTGGGGCTTATCTTCAAAGTCGTGAGGATTTGACATTTTCTCTTACATATGGCTATGTAGTGAAGAAAAACGGCATATGACACAATTAATACAAAAATCAAACAGCAGTTTTTTTAACTAATTAAGTAAAATTCAAATTCAGATAAAACTGACTTTGTGTTTTTATCATTTCAAATCAACATCCCCTGATTGTTCGGTTATGAAACATCCAAAATAACATCATAGGATGTTGAAAGAATCTTTTCCTCTATCAAAAATTAAAACTCTAAAACACTGCATCATACAGAAAACATATAGAAAATTTAGGGGAATAAACTTTTTATAGTGTATGCAGAAACGTATTTCCCAGAGATGTACGCAATTTTTCAATCATTGCTCGTTTCTTTTACTTCGAATTTTAAGAATATACACTGCTGTGAAATATAATTCTTCATAAGACAATAACTGCTTATTGCCGTTGATATTTTTTTTTCGAGGAGGGACAATTGCCCCCCAGTTGCATCGCTGGCGGTCCGCCAATATTTGAACAAAAATATTTTGCCCGCTTGAGAAGTTTATTTGAATCTAGAATCTTGAAAATTAATTAAGATTCATTCCAGTTAGAAATAAAATGTTTTGGTACTTCCTGTAACTTTTTTGTTCTCATATGCAATATACTTTCGAAAAACACAAATATGAATATCAACAACAAAATAAAAATTATAATAGTATCAAACCATAGTTGCTTTTAATGCGTGAATCAATCATTGTATAAAGTATGTTGATCCTTTTCTTCACGTTTTATAATCAATTGTCCTCAAATCATCACATCAACCCACTCGATTGAATGCTATCATATTTTATCAGACAATGTTAAATGATCATTATAGCAGGTCGAGAACTCAAATATTTCTATATATTGAGAATAGGTAGGTCATGTTTCATCGACGAAAGACACTGTTAAACCAATACACAGATGAGACTCTAAGCAACCTACTGATCTAAGAATTTTCGAAAAACCAATTAACATTAATTAGTGCCAATCAATATCCTGTGAAAATATGCGCTAACTGAATCAGTACAGCAAAAATAAGCAGAAATAATATGTATGATCTATAATAACTTTGGTCAGTATACACAAATCACATAAAATAAACCAAAAACAACCTTTATCATGTTTCAGAACTCGATTTTGATACTACGTTGAATAAGACAAAATTATTTAAAATTCTGAACTCTATATGTACTAATCAACAAAAAAAAACTGATTAGAAATAACCCCTGTTCTACGTTTTATTTAACTTTTTAAATATCAAAAGGGATCATTCCATGTAACGGTCAACTTTTGCATGATTCTGACACCTTTTGTGAAATTCTTTGCTCTTGTGTCATGTAACCTATAAAGTGAGGCAATATCTTATATTGTAGTTTAAACATTTTTCTTTAAAATCGGCTGGCAAAGTTCAGCTGATGGCTCAATTAAAAGATATGTTTTAGGAATAAGTCGTTTTTAGTAAGAAGCATAACTTGTAGAAACTCCTAGAACTGTAGAGCGCTGGAGAAAAGGTTAAGCCCATCATATTCAAAATCTCATCTTATCCGCAGAAATTTTTTGAAAGAATGAAATTTGATCAGAATAACGGGTGATGCAAAAGTTTTTTCCTTTTTTTTGTTTGCTTCATACCTCAGTCCAGAAGCATCGTTTTTTTCTGCAGACATTATATATCAATATATTTGCTGCGATCTGTTCTTTCTTGTTACACAGAAATAAACTGTTCTTATTTCATCAGAGCGTTGATCCAAACTACTGTCATCACTTCTCCACTTGAAGTACTTTACTTTACCACGATCATCAAGCTTTCATTTTAATTGCTCCTCTTGTGATCTTGTATGTACGTTGCAAAACTGCATTTGAAGCGAATATATTAACTTACGTTTCGGTGGAAGAGGAAAATATTTTGCTTGTACAAATGGGTTATTGAGTAGTTTGTCTCGCAAAAATAATATCTCTCTTTCCAACTAGTCGATGCTTACTGTTGTTATGTATTTTGTAGTCCAAAACCTACTCTTTCTAACGGAAGAACAAGCAAGCGTGTACAGTACTTCTGAACTGAGATATGAAGCTAGTAAAAACAAGGAAAAACTTGTGTACCGTTATTTCACAAATATCTCACTCTATCTCACACGATATTTCATGCTATATGTACTTAGGGTTGACCAAAAGTTCGTAGAACGGTGATTCCGCTCTCCCCTCCTCACACCGTGATCAAAACTTTTGGTCAGCCCTAAGTATATTCTGATAGCGCTGAAAATTCTCTATCGTCCTATATATTTGTCTACTGTCTTGCATTTAACTATTGCAAAAATAACTTGAGTACTGAATTTGAAGCTCTATCAGAATGTTTAATTTCTTTTAGACAGATTTATTTCCATAGTATCTATAATTTGAAAAGGCATAAAAAGTAGCGAATTTTTGTACTTGTCAATTGAGGGTGTCTTCATTGTACTCAAGTTATTTTTGCAATAGATAAATGCAGGACAGTAGACAAATATATAGGACGATAGAGAAATTCAAGCGCTATCAGAATATACTTAGAGCTGATCAAAGGATTTGATCACGGTGTGAGAGGAGCGAGTATCATCGTTCTACGAACTTTTGATCAACCCTAAGTACAATTCAGCAGGTTTTTTCAACCAAGTCTAAGATATCAGAATTATACTATACAAACTTCCTGAACTTTCCCCATTCTTGTACCAGTTGCTCAGAGGATCAAGCAAATTTCTTCAGATTTGGCGAAATAAACTCAGTGTAGATGGAGACTATAGAAAAGTTAATAAAGCTTCTCTGGGACAAATAAAAAACAAAACTTTCTCCGACAACGGATAAGCGATCGA